AGGGGCTGATCTGGGCGATTGGGAAGCGTTATAGAGCGACAGCTGTGAGACCGGGAGGCGTGCCAGGATAGCACAGGAACAGCTATCGACTGCCATCGATCTAGCCAGTGCCCAGGAGTTGGACATGGGATGGAGAGATAAGGTCTCGGGACTTGACACTGCCTGTAGAGGGCCGGCAGTCAGGGACCACGCGATTTCCACGAAAGGGTCTGCATTGCGGGTAGCCACCTCTGCCACACAGACATATATTGATACGCTACGTCCCCCAATCAAGCAGCAGATAAGCTTTAGTTGAGCTCCAGCATCGAAAGGGGCTGCCAACTGTGCTCAGTAGCAATAAGGCGCAGCATGCCGGAGATGGTGCACCGCCGATAACTCGCAACAGCAAAGAGGCTGCACCAGTGGCTGCGGCGGCCGCCCGCACAGAGTTACACCACGGAATGGGCGGAGGCAAGAGACCTGTAAGAGAACAATCGCAGAGGAATCCTTTGGTAGGACGTAGATCCAACACATTGATGGTTCCACGAAGAATAAGCACGCACTTAGGAGAGGGCATAAGACGATATGCGCGTGATTGTGGACCGCAGCGGTCACTTTTCATAGCTTCCCTAGCTAAAAAAGTTGGGGATCTACGGTACTTCATATAAGTAGAAATCTTTCTCCAGTCGAACGGAGGGTAAAGAGACGCTTACACTCACAGGCCACGGTTACAAAATGCATAGCCAGACCCGATCCAAATCTTCGTTCTGTCATGCATTAGCTTAACATATGAAGGCAGATGCATGAGCCTATTGATACTCACCAACGTTCGAAATAGCGAGCACATGGACGTCGCGCTCTGGTACATTTGGCACGTTGGCAGAACTGTACGGCGCGCCCTTCGAAGGACGCGCCTCAGAAATCATTTATATAAACAGTGCCGTGCACTGCAATTCTGTGGGCCTGTGTGTTCAGCGGCGTCAAGAAAGGTCCAAAAGCATTTCACCGAGGACATCTGCTTACATGCGCCCGTCCCTAGATGCTCTCCACTTCATCAAAATATGCGAACAGTGTGCAAGCGTCATACAGGCGCAACTGTATAGTGCGCGCCGTTCACCGGCACCGGCCGGAATGCTGCCATATATGGTGACCGCGGTCCATGTAGCGTAATATTCGTCGGCCTGCTTAGGCGTCCACTATTTCACCCTTTCACCTGTATAAGCTTCCCTACAATTTCTTGACCTTTCTCCTCAAACACGACTTGTTGGCCTCTTACTTCACTGGGTCGTTTCGCATAGATATGGCTTCCAAAGACCAGCCAGCAGCGACTCCGGCCGTAGACGTCGCTGACGACGATGCGCCAGGACCGCCTATCTCTGTGCCAGACACCGGTGACACTGGAGAGGGCGGAAAGATCAAGATGATCGTTCAGCTAGTCAAGAAATGCTTAGGCGTCAAGGACATTGCTGCAATGTATGTCTCATAGTCTCATGCTTTCGTTCGGCGCGACTGATTGTCACTGCGTAGGCGCCTTTCATTACCGGCGTCACTGCTGGAGCCCATCCCTAATCTAGAGTATTGGCACTATTTGGACAGACCCGATCTATTTGCTGCGTGCGTAAGGATATCGCTTTGCTTAGGATGTTATTCTGACCTAGTCGTCTGCAGAATAAATGATTCAGAGGACCCCTTAGAGCGCATGCTCGCTGTACTACGTTTCACATTTACGAAAGACCTCAAATTCGTCGTAAGTGCACCTTTGCTGTCTGTACAGCTATTAGTTCTCACGTCTACGCAGCATGGCAAAGTATGCAAGCCTTACAACTCTGTTCTTGGGGAGACTTTCCGATCGCACTGGGACGTTGTGCCAGTTGCATATCCGGATGAGCCCTCGCAGCCTCCCATTCCACTCATCTACACGTCAGACCCAGCCCCAGCATCCGCGGCTGTGTCCACCTCTGCCGTCGATGTCTCCAACCTGGGTCCCAGTGACGCTGCAAGCGTCAAGAGCGGGAAAAGCTCCAAGAGCACGCGTAGCGGCTTGAGCTTAATGTCTAAAGCCCCAAAGAGCCCCTCCACCGCTGGCACGTCTCCTCGCGTCATAGGCGAAACCGACATCGACGCACAGATGTCGAATCTCAGCCTCGCTAACGCCGACGGCGAGCGGTTGCGCGTGGTTTTCATGACGGAGCAGATTTCGCACCACCCACCCGTGTCGGCATACTATGCCGCATGCCCCTCGCGCTCAATCGAGATGACCGGCATAGACCAGATCTCGGCCAAGGTTTCTGGGACGACACTGCGGGTACTGCCAGGAGCCTTCAACAAAGGCATCTTTGTGCGTCTCACCGGTGGCCCGGGCGAGGGTGAAGTCTACAACATCACGCACCCTGTGGCAAGCGTCAACGGAATATTGCGCGGAAGCTTTTATGTTACAATAGGTGACTCCACTATTATAGAGTGCAGCGGTGGAAAGGCGGGCGAGAAGTTACGGACAATTATAGAATACAAGGAAGAGGTGCGTCGATATATACGCTTCCATCAAGACGAGCGCTAACTCTCTGTGTAGTCGTGGTTAGGAAAGGCCATGTTCCGCGTGGAAGGTGTCATACACACGATCGACGAGGGCGAAACACAATACAAGGAATGGACAAAGGTCAAGCATGTTCCCGACTCGCGTGTTGTCGCGACGTTCGACGGTTCGTGGAAACACGTAGTAAAATGGCGCGGCAAATCCACGGATGACGACGAGACCAAGACACTCATTGACTTGTCTACGCTTCGGGTCATCCCGAAGTCGGTGCGACCCCTCGATAAGCAGCACCCGCACGAGAGCAGAAAGCTCTGGGACAGCGTCACGACGAAACTGTTGGCGAAAGAGTTTGGCGAAGCAACAAAGTCGAAGCTCGTCATCGAACAACGGCAGCGTGACGAAGCGGCCGAGCGTAAGAAGACAGGTGTTGAGTGAGCACTGTTCTGTCTGCTTATATCCGTGCGATGCTCATGCGAAATTAGGTTCGTCCCCCAATATTTCGAGAAGGACATCGAGTCGGGCATACCTGCGCTTACGGCCGAAGGTCGAGCCGCCGTGGAGGCTGAGCTCGCCGCAAAGGTCGACCCTCCTTCGTCGTGAGGATGCTGGTTGTCCCACTGTGGACAAAGGACGATACGTTCACTATTCATCTATCTTCATTTGATCATGCTTTCGGTTTAACTCCTTGTGCCTCACCATATACACTGCTATATTCTATCTTGCCCACTCTCCCTCCCCGGCTACGTCGTCTATATAACATATTATGCGCCGCCCCATCTACTACTTGGGCGGTTTCTTTTTCCCTCCTCGCGCACTTGCGCTATTACGATACCTCACGAAGTTACCTGTCCCCAACGCCATTAGCGCCAATCATCTATGATTCCCAATGTGCTTCACATTTTTCTGAACCAGTCGAAGGAATCCTGCCGAGCAATATTGAGAGATTGATGCTAAGTCCGCGCCGCCACCGTCCCGCCACAGGACGCGTGTAATAAGTCTTCGGCGACCACTGGCATAGACAACTTTCTGTTTGCCCCCAACGACGTCGACGTCCTCGATGAACCCTTGTCTATATATCCGATGCCCATGATCAGCGCCTCTGTCGATGCATTTTTGCTATCCTCGGCCCTCATAGTGATATCCTACGTTTTCTTCGCCCGGCACTACCCAAATCGCCCGCACGCCCTCGACATCTTCGTTCTCCTGCACACACTGTTCATATCGCACCGTCTCCTACTCACACAGCCGCCCAACCTTTTCCGTGCGCTTCACATTCCATTGACCGTGCCTGCCGACTATATTCGCGCGCGCCTGCAACAGAGCGCAGACACGCCACTCCCGGACGCGCTCGACGCGCTGCTCTCCAAGCTCGCGTCGTTTGACGTCAGACAACACTACGTCCGGTGCGTTTTTCGCTTGGTCTTCCCCTACCCCAACTCTTTTGCTTACTTTAGGCAGTTATGGGCACCCGACTATCTTGGCTTGCTCATGGTGTGTGACCGCGACAGATTACATGCTGTTCTATATACCCCAACCACTATTACAATACGTGCGCACTGCTGCCGTCGTTGGTGTGGTATCCCATACGTGGAGACCTTGGGGTACAGCTGTACTTATCGCGGCGGCGCTGCTGGAAGGCTACTGGATTATGACCGTCCAATTCGACGTGGATTCTCCCAATATCACTATGGTATGCCCTCCAGGGATCCTATCCGTCAGGACAGTGACTAATTCTCGTATCAGTGGCACGACCGCATATACACTCTACGGCACATCTTGCTTCTCATCCTGCCTATTCTAGCTGCCCTCCTCCCCGAACGCGCTGCCATACACACATCGCCTCGCGCCCTCGTCGCACGGACCAAATCTCTCCGCGAGCGCCTCACCCTCCTCCGCCTCGTCCAGGACACGGCACTGCGAATGGGTGGCGGCGCGATGTGGGAGCGGCAGCGGCGGGAGGGCGAGGTCGGTCGCACAGACGAGAACGTGCGACGAGCCGCGGGGAGAGTGGGGATGCACTTCGACGAGGGGGAGGCTGGTGGCGAGGGCGATGGGGAGCTAAGGCTAAAGGTGAGAGAGGCCGTTCAAAAGCTGGTGGATGGACTGAAAGAGGACGTGCGGTCGACACGTTAGCATTATTTATATGTGAGTGCCTGTTTCATGTTCTGCGTCAATTAGCTGACAGATCCATTGTCTCAGCTACATACACATGATATGTGTGACGTTGCATATTGTCCTACTTCAATAATGCATCTACCTGCATCTACAGGGCCAGTTCACAAACATTCTTGAGGCCCCCATGATGACGATTGAGTTCAGTGGAATCACAGCATTTTCAATGCATGGACAGCATGCAAGCTCTGTGCGCGGACCTTCAGGACGAACTTCCTCGTCGCCGTCCCCCACCCCGTTCGTCCCCATATGCAAGACAACACATTGCGTGGCGCGCCGCAAAACTTATCTCCAGTCTACTTGTGAGTGGCAAAATTGACTCCAGAGAGGATCGAACTCTCAACCGTCTGCGAACAGCTGTAAAGCAGAAGTCATAACCATTAGACCATAGAGCCGATGTTGACCGAGCTCCTAATGCTCACCATAATGTGCATGGCATTCATAAAACCCTCAGATTCTCGCCCAACCTTCGCCCACACAGCTCGCGCACCTGCTGTCGAGCTGAAGACAAAAACACCGGCGCTCCAGGGCAGGAGGTTGAGAGCAGACTGCTCAATGGCAATGCGTTCATAAAAAGGTGGAAAAATTAGTTCAGCAGGGTCTCGAACCCTGAACCATCTGCGTGATCTTCACCCGATGTGAAGCAGATATCATAACCCTTAGACCACTGAACTGTGATATAATGTTCAAATGGATGCTACAAGACCTACCCGACACACATATCTACCAAGTTATCTGCCACGCGAACGTCACAGGGTCTTCCGTCGCAGTGCTTCCGAGTCGCGTCCAGATTCTTGACCAGGACGAGGCGAAACCCATACTGCCCTCCCTGATCGACACTGCTCTCAACTTCACGGTCATGTAAACGCAGCGGAACCGACTGCGTAGAGGAAAATATGGGCCCCATAACTATCGCGTACGTCAACTTTCTATGCCATCGTCAACAGGTCTGACGATGTCTGGCAGAATGGTATCAGATTTCTTCCACCCGGACGTAGGAGGGGTGGAAAATCACATTTATATGCTCAGTGCGAATCTCATCCGACGAGGCCATAAAGTCATCGTAATCACCCATAGCCACCCTCCGTCTCGCGTCGGTATACGCTGGCTGCTACCATCCCTGAAGGTCTACTACATTCCATTCCCCACGATTGCGTCCTCGGCGACTCTACCCAATTTCTTTACCTTCCTGCCGTACCTTCGCACAATCCTACTTCGAGAGCACGTCGTACTCGTACACGCCCACGCAAGTCTGTCGGCACTGGGTCACGAGGGAATATTGCACTCGCATCTCATGGGAATACGCGCGGTGTTCACAGACCACAGTCTTTTCGGCTTCGAGGATGCAGCCAGCATCCTGACCAACAAACTGCTTGCGGGGACGCTCAAGAATGTCGACGCGGTCATTTGTGTTTCGCATACCGGGTAAGCTCACTATATCCATTCTCAGTGTTTCATTGTTTTGAGCAAGGTCCCTGCACAGGCGAGAAAACACTGTTCTCCGAGGACAACTATATGAGAGGGACGCGGAGGAACCTTCCACCATATCTGTCAACGATAACGTGTATGTCATCCCAAATGCCCTTGTAGCAGATCAGTTCAAGCCGGCATCGACCCCTCCACCTACCGACACCAGTAAGTCCGACCCCATTCTGTATGGTATTGACCTCAAACGCGCTTCATAGTAACCATTGTCGTATTATCCCGGCTTGCATATCGGAAGGGTATCGATCTTCTTGTGGCGACGGCTCCGCGAATTTGCGCTGCATTTCCTAACGTCAAATTCGTTGTCGGTATGTTCGATTGCATCGCCGCACCTTTTCTTCCTTAGTTTTCTAAATGTTTCTTAGGCGGAGATGGCCCCAAATTGGTAGACCTCCTACAAATGCGCGAGAAACATCGTCTTCAAGACCGAATCGAGCTGCTGGGACCCATCCGTCACAGCAATGTCCGTGAGGTAAGGTCGACCATTTGTTTCCACAATACATTCGGTTTGATATTACCTACATCAGGTGCTCATTCGAGGATCGATATTCTTGAATACCTCATTGACGGAGTCGTTTGGAATCGCTATACTGGAAGCTGCATGCGCAGGATTATATGTTGTGTCCACGCGCGTAGGCGGCGTACCAGAGATCCTGCCCGAGGACATGATCTCCTTCGCGAATCCTGACGAGGATGGTATGCGATACATTTACCCTGGTACCTGGTAACTCATGTTCCTCGTAGATGTCGTGCGAGCTATGGTCGAAGCCATCGATATAGTCTCGCGTGGACGACACGACCCGATGCGTGCACACGACCGCGTCAAGAGCTTCTATAACTGGGACGATGTCGCCGCGCGAACCGAGAAAGTGTACGATGCAGTTCTGCGTTCACCGCAGCGGGACCTCTGGGCACGTATGATGCGGTAAGCAAATGACACCACGAGCTCTATGCTGTCCGATCATAATTTATGAACCTATGATACGTTTCGCAGGACGATGCAGCTGGGTCCTTACGCAGGGCCCATTTATACGATCATTTTGGTCGTCGACTGTCTCTTTTTCATGCTCCTAGAGTGGTGGATGCCAAGAGAAGATATCGACTACGTCAAGAATGAATGGGAACAGAAGAAATTTCTGGAAGTGCGTGATATCCTCCTTTGCTCTCGAATCAGATCTTTGACGGAAGATGCTTCGTATGATCAGTTTGCAGATAGTCAGGCTGGATCATAAGGCGTATCTGCCATTCAGCAGCTAGGACAGGAAGCTGCGGCGTTGTCGCGACTATACACTCAGTCCACCGCGGCTACCCGGCGTTCCCTACTGACAGGGTTGTCGGTCTACGATTCACTTGGCAAATCCTGGCATGCGCTTCCATGTCGACGATTTAATCTAGGCCGCTCAGATTTGGCCATACGCCGACTTAACCTGGCCGCCTCATGTAATCGAATGTCTATGTCAATATCGCGCACTCAGTGCGCTCCCGCAATTCGTGCGTCAAGCCAATACATACAATAGTCATTCCGGTGCTCATATATGCTGCATTTATGCGAATAAGGCTAAACATAGCTAAGTTACACATTTCGATCCGAATGCCTTTTAGGACGCCTTCTAATCCAAGTGGAACCCTTTTTTGCCACGCCCTTGCCTCGTTCTTTCGGTGGCGTTCTTCCTCGAGCTGCGGGGCGGTTGGCTAAGTCTGCGGCTCCTCGCTTTCGCTTTCATACCCTGCAGTCCCCGCAAACGCTCCCCCATCATTGCCTGGACAACTGTTCGGCATGCCAGGGAAATATTGTCAGCGTGCTCTGACACCTTCGGGCTGCAACGTCAAGGACTGTCGGAAAAACCACGATATTCGACAGTGCCCTTGTGGCGTCGTCGTCCCTCTCAAATATAGCTGGGAGGGGCATGTGAGGAGCCGTAAGCACCTGGAGCGAGTCGGTGTCCTTTCGCGGAATGCACTGGACGATAGTTTCGCCGTGCCGCCAGCGGCGAACGTCTCGGCACCGCAGTCTGGCGCGGCGAGTGGGCGAGCGCCTGGTGCCGATGGGCTGATCCACTGCGCGCCGTGCGATCTCCAAATTACACCTACCCAATGGCCATTTCACAATCGAAGCCGTCACCACCAGCAGCGGCAACGACAGTACGATGCGCAAGATGCGCTCGCCAGTGCTGAGCTCGATAAGCATGGTATCACGGTATCCCACCCCAAGGGCGTCGATTTTGGTATCCTCGAAGCTGAGGAGGCCGTCGGGTCATCGGATCCACAGTCAATGGCCGTTACGATAAAAACGAACTTGGTCGGGCGTCGCGTCAAGTTGGAGAGTATTAGAGTCACGTCGTCTCCGCGTCAGGACTCCCATGGAAAAAGGTTTGTCGAGTGTACATGTGATAATTATCGTATACATGTCTCTTACCATGGGGCAACAGTTTCTCTGCCACACTCTTGGGCGAATCCAAGAAAGTTGAGAGCGCTCGTGCTCGTGCCGTGGTGGTTGTATTCCATCCAGCCTACGAGGGTCGCTACGATGACACGTTGGAGCTTCTGTTCAAAGACACCCAGCGCAGGATCCAGTTTGCGATTACTCGCAAACTCTGCGCCACAGTCGGATCCCGAGAGGACCATGCCCAACTCCAACCTTCTGCACCGTACGTACGACGTCAATACGTACCGCTTGAGCGCATACTGCGCATAATTCCGGCCGAGCGCCCTCCGACTTGGTCCCAAACGAAATGGGTGAAAAAGCTCCTCGAGTTCAAGGCCCCCGAAGATTTGATTGCCACTGCCTTTCCGCCGGGACTAGCGAATATACGTGCCGCTCGCGCAGCGGTCATGCAGAGGTATATACCTGCATCGCTCAATCAGAGCAATTACACCAGCCGTTTCCAACACCTTCTTTGGATTGAAGAGGAACAATGCAGGTAAGTAGGAAGTATCTCGTGTTCCTGCAATTTCAGAAATTAATGCTATAGAAAAGACGTGACCTCGACCAATTCTCTATGACTGATGTTGAGCTCAAAGCGAAGCATCCACGATATGAGTGCGTATCCCGATGACTTCTACTGTACTGTTTTGCTAATATCAGTGTTAGCCTCCAAGTGGAAGGGTTAGGAGAAGGTCGACCTTCCGTCATAGTCGGGGACACCATTCTCGTGAAGCAGCAAGGTACCTCGACCGATTGGTTCGCTGGTTGCGTGCATATGGTATATGCCAACCACGTCAGCCTCAGATTCGCTTCGAACTTCAGCACATTCCGAGGGACGAAATTCGACATCCGATTCCACCTCAATCGCCTTCCTCTTCGGCGCATGCATTGTGCTCTCAAATATCCGTTCATGCTACAGCGTCTTCTTTTCCCTGGTCGAGAACATATCGCGAACATCCGGGCGCCTACTCAAGACCAGTTGAACGAGATTAACCCCGTAAATCGTTTGCTGTCCGGAGATAGAAAGCAACTGGAGACCGTAGGTGCCATTCTACATCAACCGGAAGGGAGCGTCCCCTTCGTCGTTTTTGGGCCGTGAGTTCGTATTGTCTCGCAGTCATGAGCATTGATTTACATATTAGCAATGGTGTAGACCGGGGACCGGAAAGACAGTCACCATTGTCGAGGCCATACATCAACTGTTGATCAACAAGCCCCATGCCCGCATACTCGCCTGCGCTCCTAGCAACTCGGCAGCCGACCAAATCGCCAAGAAACTGTCCACTCTAGGTCCGAACGTCCTCTTCCGCTTGAACTCCATGTCGCGCAAGCACGGAGATCTTCCCAAGAGCCTACGCGAGTTCTCCCTCATCAATGACAACGAAGTTTTCGCTATACCTTCACGTCAAGTTCTAGAGAAATACCGCGTCGTCGTGTCTACATGTGTCGCAGGGGGCGTCATGGACGGGTTAGGAATGAAACGGGGACATTTCACCCACATATTCATAGACGAGGCCGGGCAAGCTATGGAGCCAGAAATCATGGTTCCCGTCAAGACAATGGCTAACAACGCGACTAATATCATCCTTGCCGGTGACAACAAGCAGCTGGGGCCAATTGTTCGCTCGTCTATGGCAAATTCTCTCGGACTGAAGGAGAGTTATCTGTCGCGTATCATGGCACTACCGATTTATGATCTCGGCCCGGATTCAAATAGAGGCACAACGTGAGTCCTGCTGTCTGTCTACCTTATATGATCGTCGA